TATGAGCAGGGGGAGAAGCAGGCCCCCCGCTGAGCTGGGAGCCCAATGTGGGGCTCGATCCCAGGACCCTAGGATCATGACCTGAGCCGAAGGCAGGCGCTTAACCATCTGAGCCACCCAGGCGCCCAGAGACTGGATTTTTTTTTATTATGTTATGTTAATCACCATACATCACATCATTAGTTTTTGATGTAGTGTTCCATGATTCATTGTTTGCGTGTTAACACCCAGTGCTCCACGCAGAACGTGCCCTCTTTAATACCCGTCACCGGGCTAACCTATCCCCCGACCCCCCTCCCCTCTAGAACCCTCAGTTTGTTTTTCAGAGTCCATAGTTCTCATGGTTTGGAGAGACTGGATTTTAATAAAAGGGAGGAGCTATCACTGTTGATTTTGTAATTCAAATCTGATCTTAGGTAGACCACATCAGTTGAAATTACTGTACATATGGGAATGCTTTGGCAATTTCACTTGGTCGTACAGGACACAGCTCAAAACTGAGCAGCCAGAGTGTGCTACTTCCCCACAGCAGAGTTGTTAAATGGAACCCTGATGGGATTATTAAAACTTCCTCCTAAGTGTTTTCTCCCATGCTTAAGAAATGGTTTATCTATCATGCAAGATATAGCCAATGATCATACTTGAAAATAACCAGATTGGGCTATCTAGAAATATGTAAAAAAATTTTTTGAGCTTGATAAAATATATTTAAATTCCTATGTATATCTCAGTTTAGCAGGAGACGGGTAAGCTGATCATGGTAGAGTGCTACTCTCCCTTTCAGAACAGGTTTCCATGTGGCAGTGTGTTTTGGAGTATTACCAGCAACTCTGTGATTTGAAAGAACCGATGTTGCTCTAAAAAAGTAAACAATTTGTATTTCCATTTTAAGTGACAGGTACTTTCCTTCTTTTACTTTTATTAGAATTGCTCCTTATTTTTTTCTTTCAATAAAAAGGCAATGAGTTATTTCCAGCCCACGTTCATCGCTGTATTGTTATCTGCTTCCTTTTGTAGTTATTACAGGCTAGAAACTGTCAACCCATCGCTACTTCTCAAGGACTTAATACAGGTAGTTGTCAATGGACTGTTTCTCCAACATAAAAGATTACAATAAAGCACATTCATTTTAGCGCATTCATCATAGTTAGGCTTAAGATTAATCCCCTGTATACATCTGCTTTTTAAAAATAAGTCTTCTAAGTGGGAAAGTCAAAGAATCTAGCCCCAGTCTGCAATTCCTACATAATAAGAATTCTACCTCTGCTTTATTACCTAAGGTGGAGATTTTGTCAAGAAGTGATCATCAACAATCACAGTTTTACGGTGTTTTACACTAACACTCTACACTCCACACAGCGCTTACAGTTAAAGATGTTTACATACCTCATCTTTTAATTTAAGTAACTAAAAACCGTTGTCCAAAGGGTATTGTTACACGGATGAGAGAGTCGTTTGGCTGAGGTACTGGGTGTAATTATCTCTGCTTACCATCTATGTAGCCAGAGGCTTGACCGCCTCAGGATGGAATGGTTGTGAGGAGGCACAGATAGGCCTCAAGAGGTCTTTGTATAATTTTCTATGAATTATAAAGGATTCTCATACAAATACATGGTGAGCACATGTCAAAGACTGGTTCAAAGCTGGTTCAAAGAGGACATGAGAAACTACTACACGCACGCACGCATATGTACACGTGGTGGAAAAGAGTGCGGAAGGGGACTGCTCAGGCAGCTGTAGGACAAGATGATGCCCTACAAGGCAAGACACCATAACTCTCTGTTGCCTTTTCTACCAAAAAGAAAATAAGTAAGAGATGAGCATGGTTGCATTCCAAGAAGGCTTAGTGACATAAAACAGGTGGTGGGCTTGATTTGACCTATAGGACATAGTTTGCTAATGCCCCATCTTAGAAGATCAGGTGATCCTCGGTGCCCAGGTAGACAGTCCTCTAAGTACCACTTTAAAGTGAACTGCTGTAGTCTTTTTGCTTTATTTCCAAGTTTTAGATAATTTTTTAAACAGTATCCAGGCCGGGCGCCTGGGTGGCTCAGTTGGTTAAGCGACTGCCTTCGGCTCAGGTCATGATCCTGGAGTCCTGGGATAGAGTCCCGCATCGGGCTCCCTGCTCAGCGGGGAGTCTGCTTCTCCCTCTGACCCTCTTCCCTCTTGTGCTTTCTATCTCTCATTCTCTCTCTCTCAAATAAATAAATAAAATCTTTAAAAAAATAAAAAATAAACAGTATCCAGGCCTTCAAACAATAAACCCCATGCTTTTCCCTCACTGCAAAGGAGACCTTACCTTGCTATCTCTCTGAGGTGTACTCAGTCTTTGGAGTTAAGAAACAAAGACTCTATTAAAGATAAGACATTAAAATAAAACTACTAAGAAGAGTGTCTTTCTCAATTTTCTCAGTCTTTGGTTTGCTTGGTTTGGGAAAATAGTCTGCGAACTACCTACCTATCCCTTTTTCACTGCCTTAAAGGAATCCTCATTAGGACCAATGGGAAGCCTAAGGCTGATGAGAAATCACTGAGGCCTTCCAAAATACGTGATGGCAGACACTCCCAAGATGGAGGAGCGCCCATTTGGGGGCTTGGTCATGACGGTGTCACATGACTCAAGGGGACAGAGATCACATACCACCTATAGGATCTCAGCACTTGTATTTCAAAAACTACCTACCTACAAGATCTAAGACCAGCAGAGCAACCTGACTTTAGCTCATTCAAAAGTTATTTCATTCAAGATATGTTTCAAAAAGATGACAAGTTGAACAATCCTTTTTAATACAGTGGAAATTATCTGATCTCTCAGGAAAACAGGTATGTACTCATTTCTGTTAAGCTGGAGTAAAGAGGCAGGCTCCGGATATAGGCCTATACTGAGCTCATGCAGTCTCGTCCATAACAGGAGACTGCCACAGAGCAAGATGCTGGACACATATTCTTTTAAGATCAGGTTTTGCTCAACTCAAGTATTTATTATATAGCTACTGTGGGATAAATACCGCGATAAGACACTGCAGTTACACAGCTGAACACGACCCAGTCCTTACTCTTAAAAACTTAGTCTGTCAGGAGACACATGTAGTAAGTGCTGCATCTTAGGAAGCTATACAACGCCTTCTGGTAGATTCCGATGATCTTTTACCCCCGCTTCTGCTCTGAAATAACCACTCTGTGTCTGCAAGGGATCATGTCTTCCTCCCACCAGCTGGTTTTCTAATTTTTAAGTTTCTAGAAACTTATAAACAAAAGAAAATCTGATAAAAACAACTTGATATCATGTGATGTGTTGACACATGAAAGGAATCCTCTTGTTGCTTAACCAAGACCATATTTCTCTTCTTAAATGTTTCTCTAATAGGAAACAAAGTTTGTGTATAATGTTTGAATACCTTTGAATAGTTTACACTTAGAATAAAGTTTCATGTACTATTTTTAGAAATGTACATACATTATTTCTATTTTTTAATTTATAGAGTGATAAGTTAGCCTATAAATAAGAAGTCCATCTAACAAATTCTGATCCAAAATGTGGTTGACCACAGAATTTCAGGGAGTTAAAGAGCAGGACACCAATTAAAATAGTTGTAAAAAAGAAGAAAAAGATGGGAAAACATATAATGAATCTAAGTTCCCCCTTAGAAAACAATTTTTTAAGCAAAATGTAATTGTTCTGATAAATGCCAAATGACTACGATAGAAACCACATGGATCACCATATTTAAATAGTTATAAAGAAAATAAGAAAACTGTCCTTTAAGACAAAAATTAGACAATATTTCACAGTGAAAGTTAGGTAAGAGGTTTTCAAAATTCTTAGAATCGTTCACTTGAAAAACTAATTCAGCAGTTCTGAATTACTTATGTAATTACAGGTTGGTTTTATTTGTGAAAACCAAATACAATATTAAGTGTTAGCATGTAACCAACAATTATATATACTGTTATGCCAAAGGAAGCTGCCTTTCTTGATGGCAAAATGCAGAGAAATGTTAACTAAAATTATACAGCATTGAAAAGGAACCCACCATTATTCTCTTGGATTTTAACCAACTGTCAGGAAGAAAACTGTTGGGAGTTATAGAATAAAACCAATGAACCATCATAATAAAGAATCTTTCAAAATGCAATGTAAGAGCGAAATCCAGCCCTTCTTGAAACGTTTAGAACACTGTTAGAAGGCCAGTCTTCTCAGGCAGTAATGCGCCAGAAAGCTAACCTCAAAATAAGGATTACTGTGGTGACTTTTAAACCATGTCTGCAAGTTCTCTGACACCCTCTCTTCAAATGATGGGCCAGACTCCGTGCCTCACTGTTCATGAAAAGAAGAGGCAGAAGTGATAGTGTGTGACTTCCAGAACTAAGTCACTGCTTCTGCCTGGCCCCTTAGCTCCCTCGCAGGTGCTGGCTCTTGGAAACCAGCCCCCAGCTGTGGGGAAGTCCAGACACTTTTCACTGAATCAAAATTCTGAAATATTTATTTAGAAGGCAGTAATAGTCTTTGAAATTAAGCGGTTTACTGAGCGATTAGTTTTGTCCATTATATTCCTAATTTCTCTAGTTTCAGTCTGACCACATAACTTGTAGTAAGAAGATATGGGTTCTAATACATATCTTCTAATTTGTTCTATGGCTCTAGATAAGCCATTTTAGATCTCTGCCTTCACCCAATCTAAAAGGGAAAATAATACCTTTTTTTAACCTAACTTACACATAATTAGGCATAAGATTTAGGTGAAAATATCTTGCTAAAGTTGCTAAACAAACATAAGGTTTAAAATATGTAAGGTTCTATAATACTAAGTATTTTCTAATACTTGATTTGCTTTTTATAAGTTAACCAAAATAAAGACTGCATAGTTTTAGAACTACAAAATGCAGTAGTTATGGAAGGTCAATTAAAGTGGTAAGGCTAATCATAATAATAAACCCCTTCACCAATGTTCTCACGTAATTACATTAAGAAATAATAATTATAAAAATAGGTAAAATTTTGTGAAAATATTCCAATTTATTCTTGCTTAGGAGTTCTTGCCCACATCCACGGCTTGTCTGGCATCGGCCACAGCATCAGGTACTCGAACTGTCATATTGTCCATAGACTTTGTCAAATAGATTTGGCAGCCCAACCGAGATCTGCATAAAAAAGGGAGAAGTATGGTTTAGGATTAAGTATGTATCATTCACAAGGCAATGCAGTTAACAGGACATTTTCTTACCCAAAGCAGTGAAGGATTTACTTACCTTTTAAATTTCCATTACATCAAAACACATATACCCAACCCTTTCAAAACTAGAGGCTACATGGAAATGTCAATGTGAAACAATACAAAGCACGGTGTGCCGAAGCATTTTCGTCTTCAGTCTCTAGCATCTCCTACAACTACTGTGTTTCGGTGAAAGGGCTGATGAGCAATGAAATCATCAGAAGGCCCGACAGTGGAGAAGAGAACAGAGGTTTGAGCAACACCAGGAGAATGATTCATCAGTCTCCCGGGCTTTGAAACCATATGGACGAGAAAAGAAAGCTACCCCTTGTAAAACTGTTAAAACAAGAAATTTGAAATAAATACATAGACTTAAGTCATCAATTATCAGATGCATATTTTTTGCCACATTTTTACCATCTCTGAAATTAAGATGCGTCTTAAAATCAGTAGCTTCACAGCTGCACTGGGAGGCGGCAGTCCCGTCAGAGCTGCGAACTCAGTGTTTGACAGGTGTCTTTTCAACTGAGTTGTTGGAAGGGTGTTCATACTCCACGTGGGAATTTAATTATCACTCAAAATAAGTCCAAAAAGACGATGAAAGTTACAAATACAGAAACATACACAGCAGGACATAAATCTGGTATTAGTAAAGCAAATATGTGTCATTGAAAGAACTGTAATACCATTTTTTTTCTTCAGAATTACTACCAATTTTATTTATATTTTACTTTTTTAATGGTGATGTACAAAGCTATGTCTAGATAAGTATAAATAGCTCTTTTAATATGCACAAAATGTCAAGTGATAACTTTGTACCAGTATTTCAATCAGCAGTGCTTTTCTCTTTAAGGCACATAAAAACAAATATATTAGTGTTACAGTCAAATTGTCTACACTTTGATGGGATACGGCATGCAGGTCTTGGTTTCATTAATGTATCCATCCAGCATTTACTGAGCATCTAAAGGCACAGCACTGAATGTCAGTGGGTGTGCAAAGAACAGCACCTCACTTCCATCGCTGGGTGGGGGGTGCCCGGGATGTGGTAAGGAGGAGGCAGCGGGGTGCAGCCGACCAGCCAGTGGGCCAGAATCCAGCACTGCACATGGCACATTCACAGGCAGCTTTCCTAACCTAATCCTAAAGATGAAGAATAAGGAGGTTCCTCATAGGACTACTGTGGGAATGACCTACCAATATCAGTATGAAGGAGGGAACTTTCAATCAAATAGAAGAGATGAGACACATTCGCAGATAATTAACATGTGAGATCGTGACCAATGCCACAGAGAGAGAAAGCCAGAAGGTCTGAGAAGAAAGAAGAAAGCACTTACTTCTGGCCAGGGGAGATGGTACTTAGAATGGGCTTTAACAAAGGGGATGTAGTATTTAATAAAAGATAAAGGAGGAAGGCATGTGAGGCAAAGGTAACAGGGATTCAGGGCATATCGAGGCAACAGGGGTCCTGCGCTTGGCTTGGCTACTCTGCAGGGAGGGTGATGGGCTAGAAGAGCCATGAGGCCACAGACAGCTTTGAACACCAATGAAAGAGTGATAATGGGGGACCACTGGGAAGTTTTTGAGCAAGGGAGTACGTATGACCATAGGAAATACTGACTTCTGATAGAAAAACCCCTTCTCCCAGTAATTCCTATTTGCTGATTACAGATAGCCCTGACAGTACTCAATTATGCCTTTAGCTCTGTCTGCAGGACAGAAGATGTGGCGAGCCAATTTAGACAACTCATGAGGACTGTGGCGAGCTCTAGGGAGACTGCTGGCTATTCCTGGTGCCCCATCCAGACAAGACAATGCCAGTAAGGCACTTTTAATGGAGTAAGCGAGACAGAGATGGAGACGCAGCTGTTAGTGAAGGGGCCGCTTACACAAGCGCAGACAGAGAACAGGAAACGTGTTACGGGAACCCAGGGACAGCGGCTCCAGGGGGACAAGGCAGTTGTGCCCTGCGGCTCTGTTCTCCCCTCCCCCTCCACCTCCGTGCTCGATGTCCACCCCAGGGAGAAAGTGTCTATACCTGCAGACCAGGAGACAGACCACAAGGCGGCCTTGATTTCACCCGGAGTTCCAAAAAATTCTGACACTGTGCAAACCTGGACGGTATGTTCTCCAGTCCCCTTTGCCATCTATACCCGACAGTGGAAATACACCGGGGGGGGGGGGGGGGGGCGGTTACTTTACTCCTAAGGGTTGGTTTTCAATTCGGAGAAGTACAAGATCAACGACTTTGGGGCCCAATATAACTGATTCATAACAAGGCTCCGTCATTCTCTAGCTGTGTGGCCTTAAGCAAATCTCATAATTAAACCTTATTTTTCTACCTACAAAATGGTGATGATACTACCTAACCCTGAAGGTTAGAAATAATCACTGTCAAGTACCTAGGCATGACAGTAAGTATCCGGCACATAAATTGATATTTTTATCATTACAATGCTAAAAACTATTTAACAAATGCTTTCTCCACCAGACACTGTTCTAAGAGCTTCCCACGACAACCCAATGAGGCAGGTACTATTGTTATCCTCATCTGACAATTACAGAAACTGAGGCCTCTGTGTACAGTACCCCTGGAAATTGGTAGCACCAGGCAATGACTATCATCAAATACTGATTCACAGGTAAATTCCTGAATTTCTCCTTCTATCGACCATTAACTTCACAACTAGTTGGTGATGCCCTATGGTGAATCAGGCCCTGGAGATACAGGAAAAAAGTGACCAGGAACCACTATAATAAGTGCCGTGTGAGCCCGTGTATCACCAGTCCATTAGTAATCAAGGTGAAGAATACTCTATAATAAACATTAAACAAAGGTGTTTTATCTTAAAAATTGAAGACATTTACATAGCACTTAACTTTAAAATACCTGTAGGAACCAAAAGACACAATTTCCTTGTATCTTTGTTTTGGAAGTACATGGTACCCCAGAAATCATTTAGATGTGGTTACTGGCTTTGAGCAAAATTATTTTCATTCCAGATGTGCCCCAGTGTTTTATAAGTGCTCCGTGTTTTATAAGTGCTCCCTGTGAGAAGCATTGTTCTCTTTCCCCACAACAGTCACTGGGTGCATTCTGTGTGCTACTCCTACCAAAAACAGGTGTCGACAGAGAATGTGGCACCTGAAGATGGGACTGGGGGGGGTGGGGACATGGCAGCTACAGTCCGCTTTGCTCTGAAGCCTAAAGAGACCCTGTTTTCCCAGGTTCTCCTGCAGGGGTTATCAGTCTCACTGCCACCAACGGGGAAATGAACCACAAAAGGGAATAAAATGATTCTTCACCTCTAAATAAATACTAATGACCTAAACATTTTTGTGAGGATTAAATAAGATGATTGATGTTAAGGATTTAACAAAATTATGACTATATAATATATATAATATCAAGCTATTGTTATTACTATTATTTTTAATTTCTTAAACAACTATTTTTCATGAGGGTCACCAAATTATGGTCAAACCCAAAGCCAACCTTAACTAAGTCCTCATGATCTTCCCCCTTGAAACAGTAACTCAGCTAGCTACCTCCTCTGACTCCAACCAAGGCAGGTAATTTTAAAAATAAAGAATCACTCTATCACTTGTTACTATAAATCTTACTACTTCTAAGAGTATTCTACCTATTATTAATATCAAGAATAAGCTCTGATTAAATTACTATTAAGGTACACTTAGAAACAGAACTATTCATTTTAATATAGTTACTATTATATATGAAGTTTCTTTAAAAATTCTTTCAAGTAGGTAAAACTTCCCAGGATAATTTCATCCAATTATCAAATCTGTCCTTCAAGAACACCATAAAAAGCATTAAATTGAATCCCAACTCATTAAATTGTGATAAATATTAATCCCTAGAATAAAAATAGACTAAAGAAGATTAGGATCTAGAACTTACACCTTCTATACCTTCAATGGATTTTTTTTTTTTTTTTTTACTTTAGCAGAAAGTTTCATAAAGGTGAAAATTGCAGAGTGAGAACAAAAAAAAAGTCCCATATTTGATATTCAAAGTTTGTGACTGTTATCTATCTGTGCCAGGAGATCACTCTTCCATGCGTGGGTCTGGTCGCAGATACGAACTACTCAAAACTTTATCTTCCCAGATTATTAGTATAGCTGAAGTGGTCCTAAAATCTTACCTATCTGTTAGTCCATACGCCAGATCGAGCATGTCATTCTCCTCATCAGTGACTGCTTCTAACTTCTCAAATATGTGCTCTTCAAAGATGAGGTGACAGGTGGAGCAGGCCAAGGTTCCCTCACATGCACCTACGAAAGCAACACACATTGAACACACGCCCCCTACATTAAACACAATTCAAATCTAGTTTGAACTAATTATTTCTAAATTTTAGAATCAGCATTAGCATACAGAAATGGCAAGACTTTATTTCTGAATAATAATGAGATTTTGGGAAAACCTCCCCAGCCCTCCTGCCCTGAGCACACACACAATTTGAAATCACTTTCATATATGGTTTCAAAAAGGTTCTGAGCTAAGTGCTGTGAAGGGAAACACAAAAATACACAATCCTAGTACCAAAGAGCTTACAAGTTAATAAACTCAGACATGCACGCATATAACAATGTATGCATTTTTAAACTTACATAATAGCATAAGTTATTTACCTTTATTCCGGAGAGCTGAACACAACTGATGCAGCCTTGTGGTGTATGAGAGGAATTAGAAAGCACCAAACCTATGTCTAAATCACATTAAATATTTCTCCCTCTCGATTTTAATTTGACAGTTATTTTCTGAGTGCCTGTTATATGCCAGGCACTGTGAAAGGGGAACTGAGAAGTCAAGTCCAACCAAACCATGACTGGATCTGCTCCACATCTCTGTCCCAGGGGCTACCTAGCCTCTGCTTGAAAACCTCCTGACAAGGCTACACAGTGTCGGCCAGCCAGTTCCGCACTGGGCTTCTGCCCAGCGAAGCCTGTCACACTGTAACTTCTAGCTCCTGATCCAAGTCTATCCCACAGAGTCCAGTCCTTCTTCCCCCCACCCACCCCGCTGTGCATCGTGATTTGCTATGTGTACACAACGTGAAAGGATCCCCCCCACCTAATTCATTAATACACCCACCACCTCATAGACCTATCTTTTTTGTGGTTTTTTGGTGAGAACATTTCAGCTCTACTCTCTTAGCAAATGTCAGTTATCAGTTGTTATCAGTTATAGTCACCATGTTACAATTAAATCCTCAGACCTTATTCATTCACAGCTGCAAGTCTGTATCCTTTTACCAACCTCTCCCTAGTTCCCCACCTCCTGGCAACCACTTTTCTACTCTGTTACTGTGAGAATTTTATTAACAGTTTATTTAGTGAATCTTTCTTCTAAACAATAGCTTTTCATATATTTGAGACAAATGTCCCTCTCCAGGGTGAGCATACCTAGCCACTTCAAGTTTGTCTTACATAAAAACAGCTCTAAATCCCATCCCCCAGTCTGGCTGAGCTTGTCTTTCAAAAATGGGAGTCCAAAGAAGGATCTGACAAAACAGAATTACACAGAATCATGTTCTGGTTAAATTCCACCTGAAAAAAGTTATTCTGGCTTGTTTTTTAAATAATTTTTAACTTATTTAAACACTCCTAGAGTCCTAGGAGTAACTTCAGTTTGATGTAGATTCTCTTTTGGTCAATCAACAATACATAAAACATATAACTGTTATCAATAACGAGTAACCTGCTTAATTTTCCTCCGAATGAATTAATCATTTTAACAAGAGTTGTTTTGTCATTCACTTTATTACCTAAAAAAAATAAAAAATCAAGAAAGAAATGAGAGACTTCCCATTTTTACCAAATCTAATTCAAGGCAGTAACAGGATTAAGTAGAGAGAGACCATATGGTGAAGTACAGGAGTTACAGATGGGGTCTGGAGCCAGACTCTCAGGCTTCAATTCCAGCATCACCTCGACCTACTTTACCCTCCACACCTCAGCTCCCTCCCTAGTAACTATACCAGCCTCACACGGTAGTTGCAAGAATTACATATGAGTGTTTACTTAACATATGTACTTGCAACCATGATATATAGGTGGTAAGCCCGATACAAGTGTATTATTGTTGTTATTAATCATTTATTAGTATTGTTATGTGTTAATACTATTAGTTGGAAGTTGTAAGGAATCTTAAAGTAATTCAACTTTCTTTTTAAATACAACTGGAATTAAACCCAAGAAGTTAAAGAGACTAAAGGTCATATTGCTAGTTAGAGATGAGTCACAGCTTCAGTTAAGTTTCCCAATGTTGAAGGTAACTAGTTCCTGCCACTCCATAATCGAAGTCACCTTAAATATTAAATATACATAATCTAATAAACATATACAGAGGGGCACCTGGGGGGCTTAGGCAGTTGGGCATCCAACTCTCGGTTTCAGCTCAGGTAATGATATCAGGGTTCTGGGATCAAGCCCCGCATCAGGCTCCGTGCTCTGCATGGAGTCTGCTTGAGTTTCTGTTTCCCTCTGCCTCTCTTCTCCACGTGCTCTCTCTCTCTCAAGTGAAAAAATATATATACACATACACACACACACACACAAATATATACATACACCAATTGGTTATCTGAACAAGTAGCTGACTTTTCTATTTTTGTGTAAATTTGAAACGTTTCACACAAAAAGGTAAATGGAAAAAAAAAAAGGTAAATGGATATATTTTACTTAAAAGAGAGGGGGGCTTCATATATATATCTCAAGTTCAAAAATTCCTGCACTGAAAGGAAAATTGCTACAGTGTAACCCTGAAGACCCACCACACTGTCTCCTGTATCCCAGACAATTCTCTTAAGGGCCTCCTTTTTTTCTCATCTGTATAATGACTGAGGTAGATGATTTCTAAGGACTTGTGGCTCCAATATGTTATGACCCCACAGAGAAGAACTACAATTCTTTTTTTTTTTAAGATTTTATTTATTTATTTGAGAGAGAGAGAGAGAGCACATGAGAGGGGGAAGGGTCCGAGGGAGAAGCAGACTCCCCGCTGAGCAGGGAGCCCGATGTGGGACTCGATCCCGGGACTCCAGGATCATGACCTGACCCTGAGCCAAAGGCAGTCGCTTAACCAACTGAGCCACCCAGGCAGCCAAGAACTACAATTCTTAATGGCTTGTTCAGTAGTATTCAATAAACATATACTTATCTTGATTCCTATTTTCATCTCAACGATACCCAGTCGAGACAAACTAAAAACTAAAATGGCAAATCCCTCTAGAGATACTGTAGGACAAAAATCAGGAAATCCAGCCTCCTTTTGTCTTTAAAATGTAAGTCAAACAATCCTTACAAGATATTTCAAGCAACTTTCTTAATTTAAAAAGCTTATACTTCCCTTCAGAGTTATGTTATTGAAAAAAACTGAATCCTGACAATGGAAGGCTGTGTGTGACAGAAGATTCAAGAAAACAGAAATCACAGTTCCAGGCAGGATGAGGTGTGTGGAGGCTGCAGAAGTGGTGGACCGAGCATGGAAGGTCTCCCATGTTCTCCTAAGGAGCTTGAACTTGCTCCATAAGCCCATGATTCTTCTCCACCTTGTCTCCCGACACACTGGGTAGGTAGCTGACATGCTCAGGTAACCAAACATCTTTCATGGTGGGTTGCCACAGAGATGAGAGTGGCTAGGGGGTTATGGACACCTGTCCCTCCACCTGTCCTCTCCCAGATCCAGCCCCTGGAAAGGTGGTGGTTGTGAACCTTTGCTACAGGTTATGGGAAGCTGCTAAAGGATTTTGAGCAGGAAAATGACGCGGCATGTCTTATTTTGGAGAGATCTCACTGGTGGCTGTGTGTAAAGGATGGATATGAGATGAATAAGACAGAAGCAAAAACCATAAGATATCACCAGGGGGAGGGTAAAAAGATGGAAGGAAGTAGAGAGAGCCAAGGAGAGACCCCCTCCTAGAAAGGGAGTCAAAGTTAGAATGTTCCAAATGGTAGAAAGAGAGCCAGAGAGGTGCAATGTGAGAAAAGCCCAGGGAAGAGGAGAGTGCATACAATATGGTCTCAATCATCTTGGAATGGAGAGAAAAGTTCATATGCCCAATAAATCCCTCTGGAAAAATTTAGGACATTCCTTTTTGCACCACCTGGTCAGATGAAATGAAGAGTTACCAACCATGTTCCAGCTCTTCATATGCTTTCAACTCTCTTCCCTAGGAAACTTGAATTCTTTTAACCTTCTCTTAAAGGTTTTATTTTCATTCTCTAGTGTAATTTTCATTGCCCTCTCAGGAAATCTGCCAACTGTTTCCACATCTTGCTTAAGTTGCCAAACTCAGACCTGAAGAGGATTCTAATAAGGATTTGACAAATGTTGAGTATATACAGAAGATTAAACTTTTGGTTCCTACAAGCTAAGTTCCTATTATGCATTCTAGTCTTGTGTTTACTCTTTAAATCAATGCACTACATTCATGATCACCCCTTATTTTATGGTCTCTTCCAAACTTTGTCTGCCATAAGCTGTCAACAGGTGTGCTTTTCTTATTCTTTGGATTAGGAAGAAATCAAATATAATAGAGACCCTTAGTCTCAGAATGAAATCAATTCAGCCAGTATAAGATGGCTAACACTGTACCAAACATACAGTCATATTGTGCTTGCTCTAAGTGTTGCTTTTGAAAAAAATTCTGCAGCAAAGATTCACAAGACCTCATGAATCACTCATTAGAAGAAACAATCCTACAAAACCCCCAATATAATAAAACAATCTGAGCAGTGTTTTTTTTTGAGATTTATCCTATATGTACTACTTAAAAAAAAAAACACAGGAAAACTTATAGAAAATAGTGAAGACATGTCTCTGAAAAAAGTACTTAGGAGGAAAAAATACATTTTTTTAAAAAGCCTAAAACTGTGAGAAGAACAAGAGGCTATTTTAGAAAAAAAGGTTACTCCTTTTTTTTTGTTCTTTTTTCATCTCATAAAAAATTATTTCTTGATGGCAATTCCTTCCAATTTAATAGGTTCCTGGTCTTACAGTTAAAGGTAGTCCCCCAAATAGTAAGCACCTGACTTTTGCCCTTTTGGGATATAGTTGTATGAATTTTAACACATTTTTAGTTTGTATAACCACCACCACAATCACAATACAGAACAATTTCATCACCCCAAAAAATTCCCTTGGGCTGCTCCTTTGTGGTCACACCCTCCCCCATCCCTAAACCCTGGTAACCACTGATCTGGTCTCCATCCTATAGTTTAGTCTTTTCAGAATGTTGCATAAATATAAACATACAGTACATAGCCTT